CTGCAGTCCATGATGCTATCGCCAATGAAACCGCTCATCATAGTGTCAAGCGAACTGTTTATATAGGACACAAGTCGGTGCAACCCCAAATCACAGTCTGGGCTCCATTTTGTAACCCTTGACGCTAGTGATTGAGTCGCTCTGAGGAGGTCCCACCTGGCCATGCGGGCTGCAAACAAGATCTTCATTAGTACCTTGCTGGCAATTGGCTGCAACCTTCCCGCCTTTTCCCCTTCCGATGCAGTGGGCAATGCTACCCGAAGCTCATGGAATGGTGTCGCTGCTGGCTTCAATGACTTGCGGTCAACCTTGGCAAGCTCACAGTACCTGTCAACACATGAATCCAGGAAGTCCCTCATGTCATACGTGATGCGTGTGACTGGTTTCGTCATTGCACCCGGTTTCTCCTTTTGATCTTGTGAGGGAGTGATGAACTTGCTGTGCTTAACCTCCTTCTTGGCCACGGACTTATTCCGAATTGGCTTACCCTTGCGGGTAGCTGCTACTGCCAACTCGAAATCAGACTGTCCCCGGCCTGCAAGGTCGAAGTAGGTCTCGCCGTTCCACCAGTCCTTGAGGCAGCGATCGCGGGCTATGTTGCAATCATCAACAACGACCTCCTCCGACTCACTCTTGCGAGTGGCTTTAGCTACCACAGTGTATCTTCGGGGTCCAATCCCTGGAAACACTTGTGCATCATCTTCGTTTGGCACATACAAGCGCTTTCGAGGATAATGGTGGTGTCGGATAGCTAGGAGGTTCTCTGGGTCAATGTCCCAGTAATCTTCCGTCCTAGCCGGGGTCGCGTTGAGTGGTTCAGGTTCAAATACATGACGAAATGGATGCGCCTCTTTAGGGAGCATAAGATTGTGTTCCTCCTTGTGCATACAACCAAAGTATCTCCCGATCACTTCCGGGAGGTCCATGTCGATAACGCTCGAAATCGAATCCCAGCCCTCCTTTATGGTGGCCTTTGGACCCGCAAGCTTGAAATCATCAACATAGACCACGAGCAGTAGCTTCTTCTTAGGATGATAGAACACGCTCTTCCAGATGTCAGTCAATACAGCTTCGAACCCTACCTTCTTCAATTCCTTCTCGCAGTGACGTTCCCAAATCCCCCCTGAATCAGGGTGTCCATAGAGTGCCAACTTGAGGGGAACAATGGGATCCTTCATTCCCCGCCACTCCTTAGGCCATCGGTTGCGAGGCAACCGAACCCAAGTGGCGACTCCTTGGAACAACGCTTGGGTGTACGCCTGTTTGGCATCTGCTTGCTGGATGACATACCCCGGTTGAGAGCCAAAGGCGTCCAGGATTTTCCCTGCCTCCATTGATGCAGGGCTGCTGGACATTTCCGCGAAAAGAGCGTGATCGGCGTTCTCGTCAAGTACTTTGTTTCCCTGAAATACCGACCTACCCTTATATTTGCGGTTCGGGTCACCTTCCTTAAGTTCAGCTCCTTTCAAAGAACCAATCTCGAAAACATTGCCAAAATGGACCTTTGAGTTAGTTCTCTTAGCTTCGGAGGCGACCGTCTCGAACTCCCTAACCTTGTTCTGCACCCAACATCCCTTATCCACAAGCTTCTTCCATTCCTTGTCCATGGCTGCCTGCGCTTCTGGGCTCGCTGCGATTTCCTTAGTGGAAAGGACCTTGGCAACGAGAGCGTACATGTCGTCTGCAATCTGGAAAAGTTTCTTGTCGCACAATCCTTGCAGCCTTTCCCGGTGCTCCTCGCTACAGTTGTGTAGGACGGGCATAGCTGGTACTGCTTGAACAGCTTTGCGATATTCCGCCTCGTTTTCCTCCCGCAGCTTCTTCTCATGTTCAGCAGTGGCAGTCGCCCTTTGTCTTTTCGACATGGTCTTCCACTTAGTATGGTCGATAGCATTGGGGCGGTTCTTGTTGTTCTTTTTGACCAAACATTCACCGCTCCATACATAGCCATACGGTGGTTCAGGTGCTGTTGCAGCTGCGCTGGGCTTCAGCTTTTGCTTCACTGAGAAGGGAACATCATCGAGTAAAGCTTTGCGTTTTTCGGATTGTGACTCATCCTTGCGGATGGCTGATGCGTCCTCCGATGGGGGATCATCGTAGCGATCAGGTCCTTCTAGCTCCGCAAAGAGGTCGTCGATGTCCTCCTTGAGCTGGGCCTGAATTTGTTCTTCGCTATATTTTGTTTCTTCGGTGTACTCCCCCCCTTCCTCCAGAGGAGGATGCGGGTTTGCATCATCGAGAACATTGTGGTGTTGTGCGTCGAGGCTTGGTGGTTTGTCCAAGGCAGCTTCCGAAAGAAGAGGAAATTGATAGTCACCTGCAGGAATCTC